TTTCCACAGCGGATTTCTCGTCATAACGGATTTTTTTGGTTGGAACCATGAATCCGCTGTGGCGAGGTTTGACTGTATTGTTATTTCTAAAAAAAAACAATTGAAGAAAATTGTTGATTATATTAAAACAATAAAACAGATTTTTTTATCTTAGAATTAATGCACAATGTAGTCTTCTGAAATTTTTGCTGAATGTATTGTTTGATATAATAAAATCTAATTGAAATATACTAAAAAAAAATTTTAAAATATATAAATATGATAGATTTTGGACTGAGTTTGATGTATCAAAAAATAATTATTATAAATAAAAAAAACATTTAATAACATTAATTCAACTAAACCTTTTTTAAAAAAGCCATCTAAACCAACTATCACTTGTGTGATTGATTCAATCATTAGCACTAAAAAACAAACAATTTCAGAATTATTGGAATTAATGCCATTATAAAGGTGAAATAAAATAATAATTTTTTAAATATAATTAATTATAATATATCTTTAATAAAACAAAAATGACTTAGCTATTTAATCATTTCCTTGTATGTGAATGCCTCCATCCATCAAATCTTCATGATGATCATGATTATTATGCAATATGTTTGATGTCATATTTGATATAACAAACAATTTCATCACCCAGGTAATAATGAATGCATGAATGAAACTTTTAATAATGCGTGTCTACCCAGATCTCTGGGGTTCACAAAATAAATTATTTTTCCTGATTATCAATTATGGTTCCTTATGAATAATAAATCTGATGTTGATTGCAGGTGTCAGATTTAACTAAAATTTCCTATCACAAACATATGGTTGGGTGCTTTCACACACCTCCATAATTGTGGAATTGTTTTCACAGTGAAGGCCCCATATGTTGGGAGGCTTTGGACAAAGCATTCCCTAATCTCCCCCTAAGACCAGGCTTGCTGTCACCATATGGGCATTGATCACTGATAGCTGGTGCTTGTGTGATGATTGCTACATGTTATTGCCACACTAGCATAAAAGTTGGTGTTAAGACTGGGTTGAAAATTCAGCAACTGTGGAGGTTGCAACCTGGATTGCTGTTTTGGATTTTTCCTGAATTCAGAGTTTTGAGTCCTGGGTTGCTGTGATTTTTATGAAAAGAAAAGTATTAATATTTAACAATTAATATTGATAGTATACATTTTCTGTGCTTAACATCCATGTGACCCTAAGTCTGGACAAAAGATCCCTTTCTACGAGTTTGGCTGGTACATCCAAAAAGTGTCCCCTGTCTTGTCAGTGGCATGCCTACTAATGTTGGTTTCCAAAACTAGAGAGTTTCGCAACTGTGCGAAAGTCAAAAGGTTTTGCCATAAGTCAAAACTAGTTTGACCTTTGACTTTTGATTTAGTTTTGACATATAAATTTTAATTTTAGTTTTGACTTTTGCTTCTTCAAAATAGTTTCAGCAACCAACACTAATGCCTACTCACCAACAACCCTACCCCCATTTACTAAAATAACAAGTTCAGTTGGTCAAATAAAAATTAAAGAGAAGCTGAGTATTTATGAAAATGATTAATTTATAACATACCAAACAAAATCTGAACCATTTTTATAACTTTTTTCTTGTTGGCCATATTGCTGACAAAGATGTATATAATCATGTAATAATTTTAACCTACAGGACAGACTGATTGGGCAAAAACCCAATCCAGTCCCCTACCCAAAATTATAAATTTGTCAGAATCAAAAAAAAACAGAGAATTTAGGAAAGTGATTATACAAAACAAACACTATTTTACAACCTACCTCTTAACATCAGAGTCCGAATGCAATTTCAGGGCCACCAACCCTGCTCTGAATTGTGACCTCCTGTGCTTGAAACAAGTTGCAGGTTCTCATTGCTTTTATGGATATTTACATGGTACTACAATTCATCAGCAGAGTTGCGACTTGGTCACAGTGCCATCTTTACCCTAGAGGTGGGATCATTGCAGGTGAATTTTCAGCCAGTGTGCCAGCAGCCATCTCTGGTCTGGGAAGATTAGTGAAAGCGTCATTGACAATTGATGCAGTCTTGGTAAACTCCAGGGCCCCCTGGAATTCAGTTGCATCATTGTATACATCAGAGGGAGTGGGTCAGATTAGCCTTATGTACACAAGGAAGATAAGTGAGAATGGCTGTAATTTGTTCAAGGTAGTGTGCATGCTTCAACACCTGCTATTTTCCTGTAATCAAACATCACATACTTGAAATGTCTCTTTTTCAACAGCGTATTGCCTTGACATCTTGTAATTATAATAATATAATTAATATTATTAATGATTACGAAAGCAAAATATTATCAATGAAAATCTTGTAATTACCCAGCAAGATCTGCTCCACGTTTTGAATTCCAATTAAAATGTTTATAAACTAAAATAAAAATATCAATCCATACAAGTAAAAAAAAAAATATCTCTGGTTAGTTATTAACAAGTTCTCTTTAGGAGACCCAAACCAAACCAAACAACAACACTCACATTTTGTCATCTTGGACTTTGTCAAAAAATAAATTGTTTTTCCAAAAAAAAAAAAAAAATCAATTCGCATTTGTCCTATAGTGGCAATCATCTAAAGACATCATCAAATGTTGCCAATCTTTAAGTGCTGATATTTTATTAAATATGGGCTATTTACCAAAAACTCTCTATTATTGCAATATTCTAGACATGAAAATAATGTAATAGAAAGTTTTTTTAGTTATTTAATTAAAAAAAAAGTAATAATGGTTTAAAGTTGGGTAACTTTGTTATTTTATTTGAAATTTCGGCAACTATATATCTAAACTGCAATTTACAGATTATTTACCAAATATTCACGTGACAAAGTCGCAGATCTTTTACAAATTTGGATTTATTTTTATATATTGGATTCTTTATAAAGCAAGATCAGCATAAAAAATTTCGGCAAGTGGCGCAGCACGTGATATCTTTAGATGATTCGCACCATACCAAAAAAAAAAACCAATAAATAATTAGTATGTACGCGTCGATCAACCACAAACTTTTTTTTCATTTATAAAGATGTTGTTTGATGAAAAAAAAAGTAAAAGAAGCAAACAAACCATAACAAAAAATACATATGAGTAAGTGTTTTAAGGATGGTGGTGGTGGTTATCATCCACCACTCGTCGTCACTCTAGTTTCTCCTACCTATATTACTTGCAAGATTTAAAAGATATATTATGGAATGAGCCAGAAGCACTTGAGAAACTTGATAATTATGCTAATAATCCTCAAGTAAATGTTTTATATGTTGCAAAGAAAAATGATGGTATTTTTTATTAGAATTTTTTTATTTTTGAAAGATCTTGAAAAATTTTTTTTTTCATTGAACAAATTAATTTATTAACTATGAAATTTAAACCTACCTTCATGCAGATAATAAATCATATTCTTATGCATTATTACAAGAAATAACACATCATCCTGATCATGTTGCATTAATTGCAATCATAAAACATGTATCAACTTTGGATCCTACAATATCAATTCAATCACAAATACAACTCATAAACATACCTGATCCTGAATCAAATAGCATGAACATGTGTGAGGCATTACAATCCTATATTCATTTGGCTGTTGGTCCTTATTTTGAAGCCTATGTTAATGAAAAAGGGATTGATGTAGAAACAAGTACTACTGCTGCAACAGTTAAAAAAAAATAGCAGAATTGGAATCATCATTCTTCCACTTACAGCAAAATACTGATATTAATATTTTCAATTTACCAGATGTTGTATTAAATATTCATCCTGTCATTCAAAGAGCCATTGAAAAGGTAATTAAAAAATTAAAAAAAAGATTTACAAATTAAATATTATTACATAATCATTAATATATATATATATATATGTTTGTGTGTGTTTTAAACAACAATGTTTTAGTGCAATCAAGAATCAAAACACATCACCATAGATGCAATAGAGCCACAACTATTGTACGACCATAATTTTTTAAATTCACTACAATCTGGTCTTGATCTCTGGGCAAAAGAAATTAAGAAGGTCATTAACTTGTCACATAATATTTCTAGTGGAAATGCTATAAGTGAAGTGTACTTCTGGGTAGATGTTGTAAGAAATGAAAGAAAGCACATTGCAATAGATATAAGTCCTGCTCATAGGAAGTTACAAGAACGAGTTAATCTCATAAGAGAATTTAGAAAACAACATGAATACTTGCATGATGGATTAGAAGTTGCTGATTCTATTTATGACAAGCATCAGGAAATTTTTCTGACTCATATTTATGTAATTATTACACTATTTACATAAGTTTATGGTGGGCCTGTAATATTATGCAAATAAGCATACAAAAATTATGCAATTATTACATCAAGTGTAAATATTACATAATTTTTATGCAAATATTACAACTTTACATATTAAAATTTACGGATGTAATATTGCGGTGGGGAAAATTTCCTGATGAATGTCAAAGATATTGATATATTAGATGTTTCGTTTGATGGTACCATGGCTTGGAAAAATGCAGAAACTTCATACTACCAACATATTTCTCACTTTGCAAATAGTATTATCAAAAAATTGAAAGTCTTGATAAACAAAACTTATTGTAAATAATAATTAATTTCTCTTTACTTATTTATAAACTTCACAGATTTATAAGGTTTATAATAACATTACCAATTACTATTAAATCACTAAACAGATAAAAATAAAGAAAAAGACATTATGAAAAACCAAAAATCAATCTTAATATTAAAAAAAGTCAGCCTTCATCACAATCAAATATCACATCAAGAGAGTCAAAACCACTTCATGTTGATGGACAAAATATTGTATTTTGTAAAGGGTTTAGGGTGTGAATTATGGAAATAAATAATTATCATTATTATTATTTGTAATAATTAATTTTAGGGTGATGATAGTCTTAAATTACTGGACTTTCCATCATGTTTAAATTACACCAACATAGTCCTTACAATCAAAATATTTTAGCATATAAATATTATTTTAGCAAATCATTATTATCATTATTATTAATATTATGTTGCAAAAAAAAAAATTTAAAATTTAAAAATTCCTCAATGTTTATTTTTTTATCATGAAATTCATGAAATGGAAGTTTTATATTATTTAAAATCTTATCAATTGTCCAACAACAATGAAATATCTACTCAATATTGAATTACTAGGTTGATTTTCATCAATCTTAAATAACACTTTTATCTGTTTCAATCAAATATTCTTCATAGTAAAATTCATGTTATGTACACTCACTCTACCATTAATATTAATATTTAAATAAATTTTTCCAAAATAATGTAGGTTCCTAATATATTTGACATGATGAGTAGTAGGCAATGCATATTTCTTTATTAGTGATGATAAATAATAATTGGATCCAATATATTTTTGCTTCAAGGTATACAACTTTGCATTTGGTATTAATCAATTAAAAAAGAGAACATGATCATTAATTGTGATCTTTATTATTATTATCTGATCAATGTTGTCAGTGGACACAGACACAGACTGTCTGGTCCTGGACCATCCATGTCCATGTCTACCACTTTAAATGTCCTGGACAAAAATACAAATTTTTGTATATTTAATGAGTTTATCCTCTGTAAAGACTAGTGCCGTAAATTATGATGATGGTAGTAATTGTATTTACGGCATATAAAAAGTGGTTGCAATTACCTTTGCGACCACTTTTGCAACCATACTTTTTCCTTTTTTGGATTACGGCACTAGTCTTTAATCCTCTGTGAACACTTTATGGTACAATTAACAAAGCAACAAAAATCCTATAGAGTTCTTTTTTATTTGCTTTACTTTTACTTTCTTTGACCAATCAAAGCCAGCTGTATGTTTGCAACAATTACTTTACAATAAAATAATCAATATGTGATAATGACTTTTGTCAATAACAGTTAGCTCTTCAATTAAACCATTTAAAAAAATAAACAAAAACATTTATGCTTAACAAAACCAAAAAATTAAACCTTTGCTTACTTACTAAAACAAATATCTAAAAAAAATCTTTGTTTTAACCACTTTGACAACCAAATGGAAATTAAACCCTACTGTTTAATTTCCAACCACAAAAGTGTTTTATTAAACAAAAAAGAATTAATTTGTTTTGTAATAATAAAATTGTTCTCTTTCTAAGAATTTCTGTTTTTGTTGGGTAATAGCACACTTTCATTCTGCTTTCTTTTCTAACATCTATTGTTTTTCTTTCTGCTTGGTAAATTTCATAGGTAAATCTTTTCATTCCTTAGATAAGCTTCAAGTGTCTGAGTATCATTTGAAAATATAAGGGGCAATTTTTTCACCTTGTTCCTTTTTTAAAATACTTTTAATGGTGGTGCTGTAAATTCCTTGGTTCCATAGTAGACCTGATGTAAATAAGCTTCATTTTTATATAGGAGTAATTCTATATATTGTTTAAGAAAAATCAGATGACAAATGTGATATATTGATGATAACTAAATTTTGATCCCTGAAATCTTTGGTAATACCAATGTTCACTTTGTTTGGTTTTGTTGCAGCATGCCCATATATATTTTAATATATATAAACAATAATTGTTCTATATATTAATTAATATGCATAAATGAATAAACAAAAGATTTTATTGGGAGTGACGACCAAATAATAACATCATCACTACTCAATTGCAAATTTATTATATATATATATAAAAAAAATTTTTCACTAAATACAACAAAAAAAATTTTTTTTTCCAAAAAACCCCAAAAAATAAAAATTTGCTATTGTTTTTTAATTTAAAAAAATTTCTTTAAAAACAAAAATTTAAATAAACACATACATTTATATATATATACTAATATACTATAAACCATATAAACATATAAACATATATATATAATATATTAAACATATAGTTTTATTAAAAAAAAAAAATTTTTTTTTTCACGATGAAATATCAATCAGTTATTGTTAAACTTTTTAGTGGATTGAATCCAATCTGTTTATATTTTCCAACGGTAGCAAAAACCACAATATTTGATTTGAAACAAATAATATTTGGACGTTTATTGATCGATCCTGATGACCAGAAACTCGTAACAATATCCGGAAAATATTTAAAAGATTCGACCAGAATATTTGAAAACGACGATGTCGAGTTTACAACTTTGACCCTTAAGCTACCTTTATATGGTGGTAAAGGTGGTTTTGGTTCAATGTTAAGAGCTCAAGGTGGTAAAATGGCTAGTCAAAAAACAACAAATTTTGAGGCGTGTCGCGACTTAAACGGTAGAAGATTAAGAACTGTCAATGAAGCAAAAAGGTTAGATATTCGATGTATAATATACGCGTATGTTTATGTATGTGTGTGTGTGATTTTGACTAACGAACGTTTTAAATTTGTTATTCATGAACAATTAAAAGATTGGCTGATCTTCTTGAAAAAGAACCTGAAAGGGAACGCGTTCGTAATGATAAAATACAAAGAAAAATCGAAAATGGTTTGAAAGAACGCCAGGCCAAAAAAATAAGATTTGATGATACTGAGTTCCTTAAACAGAGCGAAGAGATGAAGGAAAAAGTACAAGTGGCAGTAACAGAAGGTAATTAATTAAGCTAGTATGAATATTAATATTAATAACAACGTGATTATTTATTTATCTGTTTATCTAATATATATATATACACACACATATATTTAGCATTAAAAAAATCATCAAAAAATAATAATAATGTTGCCACTACCCCCACCGCCAAAAATACTACTGCAGCTGTCAAAAATACTACTACCACTGCTGACAATACTACCACCACTAAAGTTGTTGCTTCCAAAAATACTACTGCAACTGCTACACCTACTAAATCAATACATAATAACGCATTTTCAATGTGGTAAGCATTTGAAAAATTGATTCTTTTTTCAATTAATCCATTGATATTTTCCCAAATATAATAAATGGTAATAATAATAATAATAACATGATCATGTTTGTTATCAATTAATTAGGGATGTGGAAATGACAGACAGTTCTGATGATGATGCCGAAATGACGGAATCTGATGCATAGAAAAAGCGAATAAAATTATTAATATGTCTATAGTTATTGTATTGCAAATAACCCCACCACTACATTACTATTATTAATAATTCTCTCAAGAGATATTTGATTAATTAATATCTTTATCTTTTTTTATTTTTTATTTTTTATTTTTTATTTTGCTAAATCTTTTAAAAATATCAAATAATCAACAAAAAAAATTTAATTCTTTAAATTTTCTTCTTTGTAAATAAATTCTTTTAGAAAAATAGATTGCGGTTTTTTATCATCGTTTGTAAAATATAAATTATTGATTATTGTTTTTTTCTTCCATAAATTATTTCTTATAAATAATAATGTTTTTATATTTTTTTTTTAAAAAAATATAACTTGCTATAATTAAAATTTAAATAATAATAAATATATTTTTTTATTAGAAAGATTTTTTAATTTTTAATCTTATCTTTGTTGTCATTTGTCCAAAATAATATTCGAATAGTTATATAAGATCAGCTTTTCTTTATTTTTAAATATGAATTTAATTCAGCTTTTTTTTTCTAATGATAAAAGTACAAAGAAAAAAGAATAAAGGAAGAAAACAATGTATATATAAAATGAGGTGATGTCATATGTGTTGCGTAAAATTTTAATAAATAAAAAATAATACTACAATTAAATAAATTATAATAAATAAATAAATAATAAATATTTTCTTTGAAAAATTCAAGACCATAAGGAATTTTTTCCCATATACTACCTATCCTAATTCTGTCATAGCGAGTTAGCACGATGAGATGTTGAAGAAGTTTCTGTTGGCTCTGCTAGTGATAACGATGTTAAATTTATTTGATTTGATTCTAAATTTCTTGTTACCTTATTAAATTCTTCGATTAATCCACCAACATTCTTGAAAAAAAAAACGTAATATTATTTAATAATAAGTCATGACATTAAAAAAATCATTTTAGATTTTAGGAAAAAAAACCTGGTCTATAAGTGAATATTTTGGTAAAGTTGCATCAGGTTTCTCAAATGATGAATTTTCATCAAGTGCTATTTGTTTTAAAATATGATAATATCTTTCTAAAACTGAAAATATATTAAAGAGAAGTGATTATTATTAAATATATATAAAATATAAATAACCGTGTACAAGTGTATAAATTAATATATTATATATAAAGTAATATTACGCGGATTTGGAAAGTTATTAGGATCATATCCATCTTTTATCATCAAATTACCGATTATTCGATTCATGCAATCGACTGATTCATCAGGTGCTATATATAAATATTACAAATAAAATAAATGTATGCATGCATGTATGTGTTAGTGGTATTTATTTAATAAATATATAAATAAATATGTATGCATTAATTACCAGGAGAAATGTTTACATTTGGATGATGAGATCGAATATCTTCTGCAAATGGCAAAGTCAATAAATGAAATCCTGGGGATTCAACATGTCGACCATCTTCATCTAAAACTTCTGCCTTCAAAAATTATAGATGCATAAATATGTAATGTAAATGTATAGGTAAATTGAAATATCTTTCATACTTGTGGTTTGAGTGCAACATAACATGGTGGACGTCCGACAACACGTGTCATAAAACATATAGCTATTTTATTCAATTCAAGCATTTTTTTGTGTAGCGCTGTAAATGTTCTTATACTGCCTTCATATTGCTTAATTGATTGAGTTGATAAATTAATAAATTTAATAATTGGTTTTGTTATTTACAAAAACAAAACAAAAAAAAACAAAAAAAACAAAGATAAATAAACTAATACTTCTTCATCTGGATAAATAAATATTGGATGATCTATATTATGTTCAAATTTTAAAGTACCAGCAGGTTTAAATCCAAGAAGTGATAATCCTAAAATTTATTATTATTACTGTTATTTAATATATATATATATATATATATATCCACATATTGTGCATTTTTAATAAATTTTTTAATTTAAACCTTTTTTATCATCAATGCTATTGATTTTAATTAATTCATCTTTTGTGAATATAACCTAAAATCAATAATAAAATGAATATTATGATAATATGATATATGATAAAATAATAAATATATTATTGATTAAATAAAATCAAAACCTTTTCACCGCCATAAGCATAATAAAATTTCATATCTTCTTTCATTAACCTTTGGGCTGTATCCTATATATTTATATATATAAATACATATTTTTTTGTAGGAAATAATTTAACACACAGAGTACATCATATCACAACTATGGTAACAATAACAACATAATAAAAGAAATAAAAAAAAAAATCTAACCGCACAAATCCATTCTGTTTTCATTTCTGCTATACGAGCAGTCTCTGATCTCATATGTACATATTTATATGCAGGTTTCTTCTTTACAATTATCGTTGAATATCTATAACAAATAAACAATAACATTTATTACAGAATAAGAATATATATATAAATACACATTTTTTCATTCATTCATTCATTACCAACCCTTTAATACCAATTGTTAATTCTAATGAATCGTCTTCAAATAAACGAAATGGAATTGAAAAAGTGGATCTTCTTGGCACTTCTTTACTCTTAATTTGAGATGCCATTTTTTTATAATCCTTGAATGTACTCACAAATGAATAATTGGTAATATCATTGTTCAATGATAATATTTCCTATTTATGGAAAATATATTATTACTATTAGTATTTGATGAAATCAATGATTTATTCAATATTTCACAAAAAATTTACAGTATAAAACGCATCCAAATTAAATAATTCACCAGCTTTAGTATTAATGCCAAAAATGTTTATACCAATTTTTGATTCAATGAGATCCTAAACAAAAGGACAATATAAATCAGTACCAATATTATTACAATAATGCTATATTATACATGCTAACCTTTGCACGAGTTATGGCAGTACTACGTAAATATTCATTCATTGGATGGGGATTATCACAATCAGTTATTAAAAAAATTCTTTTTGTCTTGATCGTGGGTGAAATTCTAAAATATTAGATATTAAATAACAACAAATATAAGTCATCCCCTGAAAAGAAGAATGATGAAAATAATTAAGAAAACTGACAAAAGATTAAAAATATCACCGCAAACCCAAAATACATCACCAAAAGGAAATTCTCCATCCCATATCCCAATTTGTTCTTCAAAATCAAAGTCACCTAACATTGTAAAACAAAATATAATTTATGTGTATAAATATAAATATATATTATATAAAGATCGAACAATACCGGATATAATTTCATTTAATTCTTTTATTCTATGAATATCTAAAGAATCAATATTTTGCAATACATAAATATGATCTTTCACAACTCTATTTTGTGCATGTTTCTAAAAAAGCAAAATAATGAATTTTATTATTATTCTTATTGACAAAATATATGAAAATTTGTAACAATAATAAATAATTAAACCTACTGTTCCGATAAGCATGATTCCTATTAAATCTTTATTTTGTTCAGTGGTCATTTTGTCAAACATTATTTCTGATATACATTTTAATATTGAATTAAATTTTGAATCTTGTACTTGCTCTTGCCCTTGATTTGAATTTTGATTAACATCTTTTGAGAACAATGTTGAAGTACAATGAATAACAAATAGAAGTGCATCGCGACTGCTGCCCATCAACTATATGATTATTATCATTGATCGCGCGGTTGCAGTGAATTTGATTGTAGTGATGGTGGTTGTGGTTGTGGTTGTGGTTGTGGTAGTGAGAATGTGTAAATTTTAACATTTTAACATTATTCATTAATTCATTCAGCAATTCACATTATTCACATTCACCTTGTGCACTTCTGCAAGATTATCTTCATCCAATTCTTCATCTTGAAAACTAATAATATCATCATATGATAGTTGACTTGAAGAACTTGATATTGTAGTGTAAGACATTTATTTTAAAAATTTTGGTAATACGATAATCGTTACGATTACGATCAGTGGTACTAATACTAGTACTAATTTAAAGTTTTAGTAGCTAAATCTAGTCCTTCATATTATGGATGGTGTTTTTTTTTTCGACAATATATATTATTCTTAGTACTATTACTACTATTAACATTAATAAAAAAGGAGTCGACAAAAGATATAATATAGTGATAGTAATAGATAAAAAAGTGGTGATGTCCCAAGCTAGTAGGTCTGAACGGTCATAACCATTTACCATTAACAATTTACAATAGCTTCATTAGTGGTAAAATTAAGATGCAAACAATTTTATATTATATTAAAAAAAAATAAATAATATATTTCGTTGATAAGGTCTGTTATCGAGTAGATTGAATTGCTTACAATTGGCTTATAATAATGACGAGGCGGAATGATATCACATATTGGCGGTCCGCTCATACCTCCGAAATATACAAAAGATTCATCATTATTATAATGGCTAGATCCTCAATTATTACAGTTTTATGAAGTAAGTATAGTGAAGGATATATATATATTCAGGATACTATATATCTCGGTGTGGAATCGTGAACCTTAGCCATGCATCAGACAATATTAAGATCTAACAGAAAATTTCAACTCTAATATCATATGCAACTTGAAAATCAGAATATATGCTCGTATCCCACATTAGCTTGACGCGTATATACCATACCGTACATATAAATATGCGATATTATTTTTCATTTTGTACCAATGAAAGTAAAAGTAATCGTTCCTTTAAGCTCCGAATCTTGAAGTTTTATTGTCTTAATCTACATCACATTTTGTATGTGCGACATCTTCAAAAGAATGCGGCAATTCAAGTTTATAATAATAACCACTGTCAATTCTCAGCAGTTAAAGAATGAGTATCATATTAGTCATAATGAATCAGAAAATTTATGATCTCTAACGCGTATTTAAGATAAAAGTGACCCAACTAGATCTGTGCTATCTATTCCATGTACTTGCCTATTTTTTTGGTTCGCCACCTTAACTTGAATTAAAGCCAGAATTCGTGTCTGATGTGCTAAAAAAATCATTTTATTTTAAGGTAAAGATAGTAACAATTAAATTTTAAACCATCTGGAATCAGTACAAATATTATTTTGTAAATTTTAATACTTTAACACTTGTCATCATCAATATACACCACCACATTCATATATAGTATTTTTATCAATATTTTGTTGATGGTCAACTAATCGTTCAAATTCTCCTGAGGTAATTGCCCAGTCTACTTCTTGGGTTTCTTACATAATTTCATATAGAAACTTTCAAGCATTTGGTATTAGGTTTTATGATGAGGCCATACCTAAAAAAATATGGAAATAATGCGGAATCACTGTGGAATATTTTGATCTGGACAATAAAAAGGATCATAGCATGAAAATGATATTTCGTTTTTTGGAGCCTTAAAGAACAATATCACTATAGAAAGTGTGTATCAAAAATGTTTTTAGATAAAGAGTTACATATAGGAGTAGCCAAAATTTTTTATTGTCCAGGCCTCTTCCATACATGGAAAATACGGAAAACATCACTACTACTTATTTTTCTATATGCATATCTTGTATGTTTTCAGTACCATTCACTACCTATTACATTCATGATTTTTTATAGGATGGACGTATAACGTTTCAACGAATTTTAATTCGCCGAAACAAAGAATTTTCCTTAATTTTGTATATCAATCCGAATCAAATAAAAGCAAATCGTGATTTATATTATACAGTATTAGTTTTTTAATGCTTTGATTCGAATCTGAATATAATCAAAGCACAGATTCGAATTTCGTAGATTCACTTGGAGCCTTAAGTGTGGCACATTGAGCATTATCTTTGCTCAATTGGTCGTGATATTTTCAGCATTAGTTGAAAGGTTAGTGATGTTATCATTATTTTTTAGCTTAAACCTACATATCTATATAATGTTTTATTATCAGCTTCAAAACTGAGCAATTTTATTTAATATGATTTTTAGCAAAAAAAAAATTTTGTGTAGTACTTTCTGATAATAAAAGAAACAATACGTTGGTTAGCTAGTTATTTACGTAAATATATATAAATGAACAATTAAAAATAATAATTAATGATTAGTGTTGTTAGGATTCATTATTTACAACGTGATATCTTTCATCCATTTGAGAACGTAAACAATTCCTCCTCTCCTGCTTTAATTTAGAATTTCAACAAACTGTATCCCATATATAAATATTAATCATATAAATATAACATTACTTTCTAGGGTATTCTATCGTTCAAACACAAAAATGGGTTATTAACAAAAAATTTTCACTGCTCCAACTATTTTTAGAATTGTTTTAATTTGCTTAATGTAGTGAGTGTTGGTTCTCTCTAATAGATTATAACAATAATTTAGAAATGATTTATTTCTGTGCGTACATAATATACACAGTCCAGTAGTTGTAAAAGTTTGAAGTTCTGATAAAACGACTTTTGATTTAATGATACAACAGATGAAATGTGTTTTCTTCATTTTTAGCCAGTTCAGCTTTGAACTTTCGATTTATTTAAGAAATGCTTCGGCGGCTTTGTTACTAATAGGTCGTTTGAAAACATTACTTCTTGTTGCAATGATTACTTGTGCCTATGGGTTATATTCCTATAAATTGTCGGTTTTATAATTTAATCACACAGTTCTAGTATACCTTGACAAAAGAATTGGAATGTATGTTTTGCTAATTACATAATAACACCCATTAAATTTATATCATATGTAGCTTAGATTTAGGTAGAATTTTATGTTTCAAGCTTTCCAATAGCTCTAGTGATAACAAACAAAAAACTCAATTAAGTGTTTCATTAACATATGAAAGTCTATATTTGTGGAATATAATTTTATTGTGTATTTTTGCTTATCTGAACAGAAGTTCAGAAAGACGTGTCTTTACTAATATACATGTCATTTGGCACCTTTGGAAAAGAGTATTATTTCAAATGGTGCTCTGAATATTTTTTGAGTAAGTGCAAGAGATAAGCGAGGCAATGTACTAGAAGCAGTTTGTGCCAGTGTTTTTATCCATTAATGTTACAAATATTTAAAATAAAATCAACGAGTTTGAAGACCAATTTCTTTAATTTCAGAAAAGGCTTACTTCGAACAATGTGGGTAATTATTACGTGATTATGAAAGAGCAAGCACCATAGCATTGATTTCGATTCTTATGATTCTTTAAAAGAAAATTTATCAGTATCTTCCTCCTCATTAAATATTCATGATTATTTTCATATAGAGAAACTTCTAAATTTGGTAAAATTCCAGATTATAATTGTAAAAATCGAGCCCATGTGAATAAAATATTTGTTACTTAATAATCCGTGAAGGCATAGGATTGGGTCAAAGGAAGGGTTTGAACTCTTTTTCGCTTTTAAAGGAAATTACTTGACAAGTTAGTTCCCACTCAACCTACCATGGATTGGTGGCTGAGCAATCCTCAATAAAAGTTGTCAGATGGGGCGCAGATACTCAATCCCATTTGTGTACCAATAATGCTGCACCTAATTTTATTATTTTTTCAAAAAGGAAAAATCGGGTTTTATCTTTTTCTTTTTCCCAAAATAAAATTTTTTTTAAAAGTTAAAAATGTCATATAATAAATTATTATCATTATTATCACAAGAAAGACAGGATTTTGTACGTAAAATTGATAATGAAATGTATGATAATGCTCTGGGTAATTCTAATAGAGAAAGTAGAAAAGCTTATTTTTTTTCATTAGTTGAGAAAAATGAGGTGCTTTCTGAAAATGAAAAAGACTTTTGTAGGAAAAGGTTTATTTATCAATTTGAATTGGAAAGTGCAATAAGTAAATTGGGCAAACCAAAAAAATGTAACAACTGTAGATTGATAAGATACTCTGATAGATTCTGCGAAGGTTGTATTAGTTTACAACTACAGAATCTTTTTAATAATTGGACATCTGGAAACAACACAGTCAATAACTTTATTAAACATTGCCAAATGAAATCATCTTTGCCAGGCTATATTTTAGAATGGATACCTTTTGAGCAATTTGAAGACATAACAAAATTAACTGAAGGTGGGTTTAGTTCAATTTATAAAGCTACATGGACAAGAGGAAATATAATTGATTATGATGAAAAGGAAAAAAAATTTAGTTATTCAGGTGCTCATTATGTAGTATTAAAAAATTTAAATAATTCAAGTAATCCAGGAAAAGCATTTTTTGATGAGGTTGGTAATTTTTATTTAAAACAAAAATAAATAACGTAATACTAATTGGTTTTATGCTTAATTGCAGGCAATAAATTATTGTAAAATTAAATCAGTGAGGATTGTTTGTTGCTATGGTATAACTAAATTCCCAGATAATGGAAATTATGCAATAGTTATAACATATTTACCAGAAGGAACTTTAAGGGGTTATTTACTAAAAAATCATTCTAATTTGACATTAAAAGATAGAATTGCAATTTTTAGATGGTTAAGTGTTGCATTATATTTTATACATAAAAAAGATTTAATCCATTGTGATTTACATAGTGGTA